TACGTATACGCATGCACATGTATATACACATAATAACATACATATATAGTATAACATTTACACATAAATTTGTGCTCCTAATTTAGAGTTGCATCTTTTCTTTCCCTCTTCCCAGGAATCAGTATCTACCCAATGCAATTATTTATGCAGAACAGATGGAAATGATTGAGGACCTGCATTTTGGTGTTGCCTCCACATTGGCTTAGATTTCACGTCTTCTTTGGCTCCTCTACTCACCCTGCTGTGTGAATGCCCCTGGTGTCCACCCCCATGGCTCACGCTGCTCCATTTTGTCCTTGGCTGTGGAGGACTTGCTCATCATCATGTGACAGTGGCTTGTTTTTATTCTCTTGCTGATAGCTGAGTGGTGATGCTGAGGAAATGTGCCAGCGAGTCCGACCTCTGACAGGAAACTGTTTAAATGAAATCAGAAGACAGGCAGGGGCTCTTCTTACTCCCCACTGTGTGCACTACTGACCTTACTGGGTGATAGTCTCCTTCTGCGATGAAACTTAAAAGGCGTGTAAACACAATTTAGAGGAAACATTTTTAACTCAATATCTGAGCTTCAAGCTTTAGAAATTAGAGGGTGTAGCATATGTATTGACACTTGCTTTTGTAGTTTAGCCAATCACCCAAACGTCTAAGGATAATTTCAATTCTAAGCCATGGTGGTCTTGCTGATCTTTTTTGCCAGTAAAATAAAAATACGAAAATAAGGGCGGGTGGAAAATTATAATACATGTTCTACTCATTCCCTTTTACTCTATCCTTTGTTAACCTCATACCTCATAGGTTACATTTGTCATGTTGTTTTCTATGATTTGATATTTATTTCCACTGAGGGACAGAGTACAAGCCAACACCCAGGAGTTCAGAATGAAAGCCCTTTTCTCCAATTCCAACTGCCACTGGAATGCTGAGGGATTTAGATGAGGCATACTTATTTAATTTACAAAAAGTTTGTTCTCACCAAGTTTTTTACTGGCTGATTTTCTTCTCATTTACTTTGTGACATAACTGGTAGGCCTAATGAGTCCGTCAAAAAATATGAGTTGATATGGTTCACAATTGATGGTTTAGAGGAATTATTATGGAAATGAGGTATAGTTATTTGGTTGCAATAGGTTCTGATAAAATGATTTAATTTCTTGAATATATATTCAATTATATTCTATCAGCCAGCTATGTTACTTCATAATAAAATATGCAAAACTTATTAGCTTTAACGACAATCATTTATTATTACAGCTCACATGTCTGAGCCTTGGCTGGAGGCTGGCTGATTTGGTGGGGGCTAAAGAGGAGGGGCAGCTGAGTGATTTTGCTGGATGCACTCACATGTCTAACGCCAGCTGAGAGTTGGCTAATTTTAGCCAGGCTTATTTGGGGGTAACTCTCTTTTGTGTGTCTGTCATCCTCCTGGGATCAATAGATTGTTCTGACACATCCTCATATGGTGGCAAAAGTACAAGTGTGTAACTCCAGCTGTGCAAATGTATTTGTTGTTATTTTGTTGTTGTTGTTGTTGTTAATCCTTATCTGAGGATATTTTTTCCATTGATTTTTGGAGGCAGTGTGAGAAAGGGAGGGAAGGGGAGCGACAGAGAGAGAGAGGGAAACCATCAACATGAGAGAGACACATCAATTGGTTGCCTTCTGCACATGCCCCAATGGGGCCGGGGATCAAACTTGCAACCCAGGTACAGCCTGTTGACCAGGAATGACCCTTTGGTGGGTGGCCTGATACTCTATCCACTGAGACACACTGGCAAGGGCTGTAAATGCATTTTAAGACTCCACTTGTGTTAGGAAGCTAACATCCCATTGGCCAAATCAAATTGCATGGCCAGTCCCAAGATGGGTACTAGTCCACAGTAGGAGGGAACTACAAAATACATGGCAAAGGACACAAATAGCTGGAGGATTGAAGAACTGGAGCCAGTATTACAATTTATTCCATATATATTAAGGTACTCATTGACTTGTTAATTCAAAGGATGCTGTATGGACCTTGAGCCACTGGAGCTTCTTTCTAATAATTACCATCCTAAGGCATAAAGTAGTACAGGAAGAAGCAGGCCATCCCCATGTGTGAGCATCCACATACAATGTATACTCAGTGCAGGCAATTTAGAAATAGCATAAAATTTAAAGACAAAAATGTCACATGTGTTCTGAATTATTCTCCAGAGATATGCTTTCGGCATATTTCCTTTAGTCTTTTTTTTCTATTACTTTCTTCATTAATAGTATACAAATTAATATCCAGGTTTGTTTCTTAATATTTTATCATAAATCTTTGCCCTGTTATTGAAAAGGTTTGATATATGTAATGTTATTGGATATATAAATGTTTTATTGTATGGGTACGCCATAATATGTTAACCTTGCCCTTGCTCTTCAATGGTTTGGTTATTTTCAGTGATTTGTGATTAAAAATAATGCTGTCATGAGCCAATTTGTGCACAAATATTTGTCTGCATGTTTAGCTGTTTCCTTAATGGCAAGAATATTGGTTGGGTGTGCAGAGATCTGGGTCCCGCATAATTTGCACTGTGCTTGCATGTCGGTTTCCTCACCTGGAAAATGATATATTTGCACTTGATGGTCATAAACTTCTAACTCAAAAAGTATCGTTCAAGTAGAGGCCTAAGTTACTCTATCGGAGTGGAGGCATGAAGGCAGTGCCAGCTGTTTGTCCTCTAAAAAGCTCAGGGGAGGAGAGGCAGCTTCCTGGGCTTCTCCCTGGAGAGAGAGTTCAGTTGTGTTTGAGGAAGTTTTGTTTTATAATTCAAGTATCATGATTTGTCCTTCAGTCCCATCTCTGATAGAGCAATGACTTTATATGGATACATTTCTTTTAAAACAGGGGAACAGGACACTGAACATTGAGAATGTAAACTATCTTGACCTATTTTATAAAGGTGTGCCCTTTGAGAATGGCTTTGTGAGATTGGAGGAACCAATTTCCTTACCTGTCTTCATTTTGTCATAACCTTGTATTTGCTTTTTGTGTTTATTTTTTGCCTTTTCTTTTGTTTGACTTGTGACTTAAGTTTTATCACAGTCATCATAACTTCATGGCCGGGGGATCTGGTCTTGCCATCCAATTTCCTGGTAATGGCATGAGGCCTTTTTCTCAGGGATGTCACCTGACCGTTAATTTTAATAAACATGGAGGCTATATATTTCATCATCCTGTCTCTTTCAGCTAAATATTGCTCAGTGTGGGCAGAGGAGACATCCACATGCCATTGCTGAATGGAGAAAGTGTGCTCTCTGCTCTCTCTCCGCCTCTCCCACCCTCCCCCACATCTGTCTTCACTGTCTCTTTCTTGCAGGTGACAGTCTTCTCCTTCCTAAGCTCCTTTTGGGAGAGGCATTGGAGTCTTCTCTTGGCTCCTCATGCAGCTGCTTCTCTGAGCTGAGCTGGGCGCCCATCTGGCCAGCAGAAATCTGTGTCAAGTACAGTGTGGTCTCCCTCCTCAGGCTGCCATCAAAGGCCCTTTGTTCCCTCCCCTCCCCTCCCCCTCTGCCAGGATGTGGCGCTCACCCCAGAAAGATGGAAACTCTCCATCACCCCACCACACTCAGCAGCATTCTAGAACTAGCCCTGAAAGCAAAACATCTTCTTGCCCGTCTTCATTTTACTTCAGGAACCAAACTGGGGCTGGGATAATTAAGTCAGTTATAATTTGGCTTTAGGGGGCAGATCATTTTCCTTTGCTTATGAAATACCATTTATTATTTGGAAACCTTAGTTTTTAGCTTCGGTGCCCGCGCTTCCCACCCCTGGCAGTCGTGGGTGATTTCCTTGTGCTTTTTCATGAGAACACTTGAGTCCAGTTCTTGAGTGTGAAATCATTTCATAATGCGAATAACTGCTTCCCTGAACACCCATGACTCACCAAGCATGTTGTGTGAGTGTTTAAATATCTTCGTGAAGCCTGGGAGCATATCTCTGTTGATTTTCTCCTCATTTTAGTAAAACTGGGATTAGGTAAGGAATGCTGATTCTGGAGAATCCCTCACTTGTTTTTTCTTGTTCTGCGCCTGTTTGCAATCTCCTGGTCTTTCCTTTCCTGCTCTCCTTCCTGCTCTTCCAGGGCTGCGCTGAGGTGGTATGTCTGAAACACGGTGCTGTGTGGGTCCCGGGAAAGTGTGGGTTAAGTGGTTGGAGGAGCTTCTGTCTGCTCTCTTGTGTTGCTTTGTTGCTACCTCCAGGCCTTGTCATGATTATGAAAGCCAGTAGCCAACCAAGACTCCAGACTCGCCAAGACCCAACCCTTTTGTCTGGATGCGTATGTAGTCCGTTTTGGCCAGGGCCAGGCATTGGTGACTAACTCTGGTTTCCCAGGGGGCTAGTAAAGTTCTGGACATCTAAGTCTGGTTTAAAGCATAAGTGGGGTTGTGGGAAAACAAAAGACTGAGAGTGAGAAGAAAAAAAAAAGAAAAAAGAAGAAAACAAATAACTGTCCATTGGGAGAAGGCTAGAGATACCTCCTAACCATTGTCTGCAGTCCTCTCTCCTGAGACCCTGGTGGCCAACCACTTGTCTCTTTCTATTATTATTTTTAAATGTGCTTATTTATTTATTTTTAAATAGATAACACATTAACTTGGTTTGAAAACCAAACTGTATAAAACATGACACATTGCAATTCTCCCTCCTATTCTCTTTCCCATCCTCCCAGCTTCCTTCCTGCCTGTACAGGAAGCCAAGGTTCTTTCTTTTTCATGGACCCTCCCAGAGTTTCCTTAGCAAATGACGCTCACATGAACGCAAGTATGGATTCTTACTTTGCCATTGGTTCTTCTATCCATGTCTCACACCCTCATTGTATTCCCTTTTATTCTACTCTCAATCATTCTTTGTTGGAACCTTTTTTTTTTTTTTTTTTTTTTTTTTTTTTGAGGAGAAAGATGAGTGGTCCTTTGTTTTACTTATGCCTGATGCCCGGAGCCAGTTCACAGGTGTGCTTGTCTTTTTCCCACAGATGAAGTGGAGAATGAGAAATGGTACCTGTCTACCGAATTTCCTTCAACCACCATCAAGACCGAGCCGATTACGGAGGAGTCACCCCCAGGACTTGTTCCCTCTGTCACTCTGACCATCACAGCCATCTCCACCCCGTTTGAAAAGGAGGAACCTCCTCTGGAAATGAATACTGGGGTACACTCAATTGTTTTCCATATAAACAAACCAGATCAAAAGACCTAGCTTCTCATTCTCTAATAAGGCATTTCATCTGTTTGGAGCTAGTGGCTGTATATGTCTAAGGATAGCTAACTATGTATGTATGTATGCATCCAGGATATATTGATTTGGTGTCAGCATTGATTATATAATTTCCTTTAAAGGCATTGTCCAGAAAAATTGGTAGCAAGTATGATTTATTTTTTCTGTGATTGCTATTACAAAATAAACCAACAGCTGGATATCCATGGTAAATAAAGGAAATCCTCCATGTGTTGATTTTTAAGGCAGTGGAAAGGTCATGGTTAAGATGATGGGGTGAGTCATGGCTTACAGAGCCATGGCAATTGGGAATGCTAGTGCCTGTGCTGTATTTTACTTTCCTACTGCAATGCTGAGTTGCAATGGCTCAATTCTTGGATCACACACCTACCAATTCTTATTGTGTTGTCCATTGAAAACATAGGAAATTGGGAATTTCTTCCTTGCTCAATTCCATGCCGACAGCAGGTAGAATTTCACCTTCTCTCTGGGTATTTCCAGTGTCTGCCAATAGACCAGAATCATACCCTGCTTAGTAGCTACCCGAGTCTCTTCACTGGATGGGGCTCCTGGCTATAGATTTCAGTTCAGTTGGTTTTAAGTAGCTAGAAAGGTCAGGGTCATGGCCTTGCTCCCTGTGCATGAACCAGATACCTTTTCTCTTTTTCCTACCGAATAGTTCATGGGTAGATATCGCCAGTCATCAGGCAGCCTGGAGAGAATGAATGAGGGTGGTTCACCCAGTGCTTACTCTGCATGAACTGGTGCAGGCCTGTGGCTCGTTAAAAATTTCTGACTATTTTGTGATAAGATGCATTTCTATTCCCATAAAAACAGTAGAAAAAGGACTAGTAAGTGAGCCCTGGGCTTTTAATTTGAAGATTCTGTGGGTTTCATCTGCTGGAATGCCAGGTTTGGCAGTGAGAGGGGGGGTTAAGGCTAAACTAGCTCCCTGGCAAAGTCACCTGTGTTCAGCCGGGCCTCAGCCGGCTCCGGCGATGCGGGGCTGCCCCTCAAAGACGCAGATGACAAATAGCTCCCTTGGGTGTTTCATCGAGGTTGTTACTGGTTTTTAAAAACTGTGTTTGAAATTCTTCCTTTAGGTTGATTCCTCGTGCCAGACAGTCATCCCTAAGATTAAGCTGGAGCCTCACGAAGTGGATCAGTTCCTAAACTTCTCTCCCAAAGAAGGTCTGTCTCCTCCCCCGGGCCCCTTCGGTTTGGTGCAGGTCGGAAGAGAAAGGCAATGTGGGGAAAGTGCTGGGGTCAGTCGGTCCCAAAGCCATAGCTTGCATCACGAACTAGCTCTGTTCTTAAAAACCTTGATTCTAATTACACATTTTGAAAGCGGCATTTTATTTTTTCATATATGTACAGGCTTCATTTCCCCCTAAATCTTTTACGGCACTTGGACTCCTAGCTAGGGTGACTTTTCCAAACCTCTTTAGCCTGCTGTGACTCAGATGGAGAGGAACAAGAGCCCGGGGGCCTCCTGCCGTCCTGGTGGGACGCTGTGCACACAGCCTGCTCCCGTGGGGAGTGGTGACCCTCAGAGACCAAGAAGCAGAGCAGTTCTCATGGACACACAGTCCTCCCTCATTCCACGAGAAACTCAGTTAGGATTTGATTGCGACCATTTAATCAGGGTAATAATGTGTTTGCCTTTATTATCAATTTAAAAAAAGATTAGATTTTAAAGCGTAATAGTGTTGACTAGAGTCCATATTGAGACAGTATTTCCTTGCACCTGGTGATATACATTTGTGCCTTTCAGCTTTAGATACGGCTGTAGTTTTCTTCATTTTTATGATTCCGGTTTTTATTATCAGATACATGTTGCTGTTTTCATTTCTGTTGCAGTCTGCTTCAGAAAGTGTGGTAACTACTAGCGCGTCCCAGGGTGGCCTCGGAATCCGGGTCACTGGAGGAGAGGTGTCTTGAGAGTAAATAGCAGCCCTTCCTCGTTCGCCTGACAAACAGATCAGGAAATCCAATATCCTTGACGGCCTCTGAGCTTCTAGGCAGAGCCGCTGATGCCCCAGCCCCTTTAGTACCTAGGAGCTGCATTTCAAATGGTATTTAGAAATCGGATACTAAGGCACCTGTGGCCAAGTCTACTAGTAACTCTTCATGGGGAGGAAAGAGGGAATTCAAATTTGCTTCACTTTTCCTGTCTTGTTTTGTTTGTGGGGCACTCTCTGTTTAGAAAGGAGAAAAGTATTAGAATAATTTGGGCTGTGCCAAGTAAAAGGGACAGTTACGGGTAGGAACTCCTGGCTAGTCCCCCAGAATGTCATACACAGCCCCAGGTCTGCTCTGGTTTTTGTCGTTGTTGTTTGTTTGTTTACAAGCACTTTACAGCGCTTGTTTAGAAGCATTATTGAAAAGTAAACTGAGGCATATTATACATTTTGAGTTTATTTTGAGTAAAGTTGATCGGAACCGGCAGCACCACCCTGGAAGCAGTTAGAAGTGCTCCACCAACGAGGTGGGGAGAGACGCACAAGGAAGGGGCAGAGCAAAGGGAGCAAGTTCCTGCAGGCTGGAGCGGAAAGCCTCGTTGGCTGTTTGTGGTGGGTGTCCTTAGGTTTCAGCTTGGTAACCTTGAAGGATTTGAAGGCTTGGCTCTGGGTTGCTTACGGAGGCCGGAGGCCGCCACAGCACTGGAGGCCCCTCGGAATAATGGCCTCCTTGTTGAGTTCATTTAACACCATCGAGTGCCATAGGTTTTCAAGGCGTTGGGGAAACCCTGGCAACACACTCAGGACTCGTTTCTAGGTGAGCACATAGTTAAGGTGCATACCTACCCTCCTTAGCTGCCTGGAACTTTTGGCAGAGGAGTTGGCAACAGAGGTATATAGGCTTGTTCTAGAACAGTGATGGCGAACCTTTTGAGCTTGGCGTGTCAGCGTTTTGAAAAACCCTAACTTAACTCTGGTGCCGTGTCACATATAGAAATTTTTTGATATTTGCAGCCATAGTAAAACAAAGACTTATATTTTTGATATTTATTTTATACATTTAAATGCTATTTAACGAAGAAAAATCAACCAAAAAAATGAGTTCGCGTGTCACCTCTGACACGGGTGTCATAGGTTTGCCATCACTATTCTAGAATATTCTTTAGCTCTAAGCCTATAGACCAGCCATGGGCAAACTAAAAAAAAAAAAGACCGTACCCTTTTATGTAATGATGGTTACTTTGAATTTATATTAGTTCACACAAACACTCCATCCATGCTTTTGTTCCGGCCCTCAGGTCCAGTTTAGGAACCCATTGTGGCCCTCGAGTCAAAAAGTTTGCCCACCCCTGCTATAGACACTAAAAAGCCCAGGGAGCTCCTTGGCAGAGAAAAGGGGAAGCATCTAGCAAAAAGTAGCGTGTTAGAAAAAGAGAAAAGAAGGGTTAGAATGAGAGAGAGAATGAGAGAGGAAAAAAATGTGGGCGAGGAATGGAGATGGGACCCTGTGGCCTAAAGGGGTGGCTGAGTGGGCCCTGGCTTATCGCCTCCCCCTCAGACATTCAGGCATTTCAGTGGGAGAGTGAGCCGCCTGGCTGCTGCTTGTCACCCCAAAGGCAGCTCTGGCTGGGGCCGTTTTCTTAGGCCCTTTCCACCCACAGTGCATCAGACCTTCTCTGTCTGAGGAGGAGAAGGCTCAGGCCTTCCCGTGGCCCTGTTGATGTAAGAAATGTCCAAACTGTAAAGGATTTTTGTAAGGGTTTTTTTTTTTTTTTTTGAGCCAAACTGACAACAATTGCCAGGAAGGAAATCTCAACAGATTGAGAAAATGCTCCAGAGAACTGCACCTTATTTTATACATTAGAATCCAAGGAGGAGACGGGAGGAGGGTTACATGAAATCCGCTGCTGGTAGAATAAGGCAGTGGGAAAAAGCAAAGTGGGGGAATCTCTGGGGTTTGATCACAGGCAAAGCAGAGGAACTCACGTTGGCGGGTACAGGATGGTTAATAACTAACGTCTGTGGGGAACAGGATAGCCCTGAGGGTTCTGTGGTCTTGGCTCGGGTGTGGGGGGTTGTGCCCTCAAGGCGTAAGCAAAGGAGATTAGGCTGACATTTCAAAGATATGTTATCCGAGCTGCATAAGAACAGTGGGCAGAGCTCCCTTAAGATAAAGATTGACCTTTGCTAAGGAAGCTGGAGGCCTGGGAGGTGAAGACGTACCAGGCCCGCCCAGGCAGGAATTTACCATCAGACCATCCTGTGCGGTTACTTTTGGCCACTGGGCTGGGCAGGCCTGCCATGTGGTCCCCGAGCTGCCAGGTTTATTGCACGTCCCCTTGTTGTTTACAACCCCTGGCAGTCCTCTGGCCAAGCCTGCCTCAGTGTGTGTGAGGCACCGTGCGGGGTTCAAGCCCCAGTGCTAGGGACTGTGGTGGCCCCAGGACGGGTGTGAGGTGACAGGTTGACCGAGGTGCGTCCCTTGGCTCCGTAACCGCGGCTGGCTCTCAAGGTATTTCAGCACCGCGGGAAGGCCCACCATCCAGACAAAGGAGGGAGACCCCCGAGCTCGCCTGTCAGGTTGAACTGAGAGTGGATTCTCTCTTCCCCAAGCCCGTCCATCCGCTGCGCAAGTGATACTGACCCAGGCTCCCGGGCCCCGGGAGGGTGCATGTGCCTCCTTGAAGACGGGCAAAGGATGGACTCAAAGACGGGGGACTTTGCAGGAGAAAGTCCCTCCGCCCCCGTTTGTTTTCCAGTGCCTACCTATCTGTCCACAGATGGATTTAGTACTTTCCAATGAAGAGTGCCTGGCATCTCACCTGCGGGCCTACTGTGCACATTCCTCCAGAGACAAATGAGCTTTCCTCACACCCTCATGGGCTCCCAGGGTTTTGTTTTTGTTTGTTTTGTTTTTTTTTAAAGATTATAATACATTTATAAGGTTTACAAATCCAACTATAGAAATGATACAAAATTAATACAGCGAAAAATTATGCCAGCACTTTCCCCATCCCTGCCATGAGGTCATCATTCGATTAGTTTCTTCTCTATTTCCCAGCGTTCCTTTATGCAGATACAGCAAATATAACTCTGTATTCTCTTTTCTCCCTTTTCATATGAAAGGAGGGCTGCTTTATATACTCTCTGCACCTTGGTCCTCCCCCCCCTCCCCCCCCCCGTCCCCTTTAACAATCCATCTTGGAGATCTTTCTGCATCAACTCGTGCAGATCCTCATTGCTTTGTTCAGTCGCCCCACGTCCCGCTGTGTGGATGTGCAGGTTGTTTAGCTGCCGAAAATCCTGCTTGGCTGCTGTCTGATGTGTGGAACCCGCTTCCTGTTCCTCAGCTTCCGTGGACCACCTGCACCTGCCGCCCACCCCTCCCAGCAGCCACAGCAGTGACTCAGAGGGCAGCCTGAGCCCCAACCCGCGCCTGCACCCCTTCGGCCTGCCTCAGACCCACAGCCCAGCCAGAGCGGTGCCGCGGGCCCCCTCGGCCCTCTCCAGTTCCCCGCTTCTCACGGCGCCTCATGTAAGTCTTCGCCCGTCTTGGGACACGAGCTCTTAGCGTTCTGTCACCTGGCCCTTCACCCAGAGCGGCTGCCATTCGAGGCCACGTGATTATTACTCTGGTGAGGAAGTTTTAGGTCTAAAGCAGGTGATAATTTTATAGATGTTTTTAGGAATGACTCGTCACCTCACCTGGTGACACAGTTCTCTTCCTGTGCACGCCTCCCATTTTGTTCCTACGTTTATTTTACATGGCTATGGCATGAGGAATACAAGTGCATTGTTTTTCTCCTCCGAACCATCTCACACATGTTTATATCCATGTAGGTGATCCTTAAGACCTGCAGTAGGAAATGCCCTTGTTTTTTAAATAAGCAATCTTTGGTGAACGTAAACATCTCCCATGGATTAAATGCTTTGGTGTCTAAAGCTTAAAAACATAGTTTAACCTTTTTTTCCCTGTGGTACGCCTTTAAACCCAGAAACAAGTTAGAAGTCATGGCACCATTCATCCTTAATATGTACAAGGGCACCGTTTTCCAAATTAAAAATAGGGGTAGATAGATCATTAACTTCTTATTGTACTGAGGAATTAATTGTTTTCCATTAATTCTTAAACATTATCACCAGTTCATTGAAATTATAATATCAAATAAAGAAATTTGAATGGAATCGGATAATTAAAAATTCTGTAAGAATTGCCTATCAACATAATTTTGAAAATTTGCATTTAGTCCCAGTAAGTTCTCTGGCCGGGAATTGAACCGTGGCCTCCTGGTTCACAGGCCGATGCTCAACCCCTGAGCCACGCAGGCCTGGCTTTCTCCATTTCTGCTACGACTTCAAAGTACCTGTTCCTCACCAAGAGCAGATGGGGCAGCCTTTTCTCTCGGCTGTTTGAGAGGATGGTATACCAGCCCCCCTCTAGAGGGCCGGCCTCAGCGCGCCCAGCTGTCCCTTTCTGACCCCCTTCTGCTCCTGGGTTTGCACAGAAACTGCAGGGCTCAGGCCCACTGGTCCTGACAGAGGAGGAGAAGAGGACACTGGTCGCTGAGGGCTACCCCATCCCCACCAAGCTGCCCCTGACTAAATCAGAGGAGAAGGCCCTGAAGAAAATCCGGAGGAAAATCAAGAACAAGGTGAGCCCTGCAGACGTAGGTCCTTCCGTGAGCCAAGACCAGGAGCAGAATCGAGCCCACGTGCCTTCCCTCCCTCCCGTCGCCAGCCCTCCCATCATGGGGCGGGGGCTCAGCCTTCCCTTCCCCGGGCCAGGAGCAGCGGGAGCGTGGTCACCTCCTGCCCCTGTCTTCCTCCAGCCCCGCCCTCCATCCTCTGGGTCACTGGGCTCCCCATTCGGGCGTGCACGTGCTTGGTGCCCAAGATGACTCATTCAGGGGTGGGAGGAAATCGTTAGAACATTAATGTAAATCATTGAAAAAAGATCAGCCTTTGAAATGTCTGTTTTATGATGTACACAATATTTCCCTCTAGCAGGCCTGTCTGTAATTTATTTATTTATAATAAAAATTTTATTTTTCAATTACAGTTTATATGCCATAATATTTTGTATTTCAGGTGTATAGTATACTGGTTAGACAATCATACACTTTACAAAGTGTTTCCCCCAGTATTTCCAGTACCCACCTGGCACCATACATAGCTGTTACACTGTTACTGATAGTATATCCCCATGACTGTCTGTAACTACCCATCTCTACTGGTCAGTTAGTTCACCTATTTCACCCAGTCTGTCTATAATTTATAAATAAATATAAATACTTATGGGTGCTTACTTAATCTTTTTTTAAAGATTGTGGGGTTTTCTTTATTAAAAAAATTCTGCAGACCATTGTTCTGTGTCAGAGGAACGAGGAGTGGCCACAAAAGTGAGCAGGGCTTTTGTGAGTTCTGTGCTACCAGCCTCCTCTCTTCCTTTGACACGACTGGCTTCTGATATAATGGGAGCTTAATCCTTTCCCCCTTATACCTCAGATTTCTGCGCAGGAGAGTAGGAGAAAGAAGAAGGAGTACATGGACAGCCTGGAGAAAAAGTAGGTCCCTGCCAGACTGTTGCGTCTGTTGGGCAGTATGCACGGAGGCGTGTGTATGTGTGTGTGTGTGTGTGTGTGGGTGTGTGTGTGTGCAGAGCTGAAGTCCCGCCCAGCTGCCAGTGTGAACTCCTTGCTTCATCAGCTGGGTTTCGCCTGACACCTAGTGGTTTTCAAAGGCAAAGCTTATATAATGGCAAGAAGCAAAAGTACACTCAATCTTTTTTAAAAACTAAATTTATTGGGGTGACATTGGTTAATAAGATTATGTTTCAAGTATACAATTCAATAATACATATCTGTATATTGCATTGTGTGCCCACCACCCGAAGTCCAATCTTCTTCCATCACTATGTGTTTAAAGCACTCTCCCCTTTACGAACCCCCACTCCCTTCCCTCTGGGAACCACCATACTGTTGGCTGTGTCTGTGGGCTTTTGTTTGTTTGTTTTTCTTGTGCTCATTTGTTGTTTTCAGTTTTATATCCCACATAGGAGTGAAGTCGCATGGTTCTTTACTTGTTCTGTCGGACTTATTTCACTTAGCATGATATTCTCAAGGTTCGTCCAGGCACAGGATCTTAGGGGCATTTGGACCACATTAGTTTCCAACCAAAGATCTTCAAGTCCCTGAAAGCTTCCTTTTAAACGTGTACAGATATTCACAGTCACGCCCCTTGCAACAGCCAAAGGGAGCGGAGCTGATTCATCAGAGCCACGCCCCAGGGAGAGCAGGAGATGGAATGTCAGGTTGGCCTTCCTATTTCCTGCCCACTGCAAGTCAGGTGACAGGCAAGAGGATTTTCACAACAACACTCGAAGGCAGCCTTTGCCCTTCTGAAAAGCCTGGGATTTCAGAAGGGCTGTTAGAAAATATGATTAAATACAATTCTGCGCTGGCCCTAGAAAATAGTTAACTTCAAGCTAACTTCACTTTTAGAAGGGAATGAGGCCCCGGACACAGAAACGAATCTTCATCTGTACCTGGGGGAAGGAGTGGCCAGTGAATCCTGGCTGGTTCTTGAGGTTTCTACTGAAAGTTAGTTTTCCTTAAGTAGTCCCATTCTGTCCCCTTATTTCTGTAGGCATCCAGAGGCAAGAAGTTTCTATGAAAATCTCTTTTTTGTCTCTTTGGGGCACGCATGCTCCAGCACCTGGATTCCTTCTCTTGAGGTCCTGGGTTCCTCTCCTCCCCTTTGGCCCTGCCCTAAGCCTCTTGGCTTCCGATGAGTCCTTCTGGCCAGGAGTACAGCTGCCAGCACCCAGACCCCGTAGTCCAGAGAGAGAAGTGTGATGGGCATTGAGAACTTTAGGGAAGACGTGAGAGAAAACAAGGTTGGAATACCAAAGAGAAGTTCACGTTTTGTACCATCCAGTTCATTTTTTATTATTGAGGCACTTGTTACTAAACTCTTTCTATTTTTTTTTCTTCTGTCTTCTCACCCTTCTTCCCAATTCAGGTTGTCCAGGCTCGTTCCCTCACCCTCCTGGGGTAGCTGATGCTCTGCTTCCACCTGAGCCCCTGGCTCAGCATTGCTCTACTCATCAAATGAATTTGCTTCTTTCTGCTCCCTGTTCAGGGTGGAGTCTTGTTCAACGGAGAATTTGGAGCTTCGGAAGAAGGTCGAGGTCCTGGAAAACACCAACAGGTAAGTGTTGCTGGAGTGAGGAGCTGGTTGAGCTGCCTAATGGAAAGTGGGAAGAAGGGGGCAGATCCAGGACCAGGGCTGGAAGGATAGTGGAGGAGATCACATTGAAAGTGTCGTTGTATCAGGATGCTCAGGACGGGGCACTCTACCACACATAGAGTCAGATGTATACATGAAATGCACATGTGTACACATATATGCAATCACAGAGAGACACACATGCACATGCACAAGTAACATGCATTAACACAGATATGTGTGCACATACATGGGATCATACCAAATACACATGCACACATGTGCACACACCCCTGCACATGTTCTTTCCCTTTTCTAAAACACGTGGGACTGATGAAGACACTGATTCTGACAAGGGCTATGATTAAGGGGTTAAGGAGAGGCTTGGAGGAGAATAGTAATAAGCTTGATTCTTCTGAAAAGGTCATCAAACTTTAGAGGTGGACAAGGAGGCACTGGCCATTTCATTGTCACCCAAATTTAGTAATAAATGATCTTTATTAGTGGGGGGAGGAAGAAAATCAAATTTGTTTTTTAACTACTGTTTTAAAAATTAATTACTGAGTTAATTACATTTCAAGCCCATTTTGAAATATAACTAAAGGACAGAATGAGTTTAATTACATTTCAAGCCCATTTTGAAATATAACTAAAGGACAGAATGAGTTAATGAGTTTCTCTAGGACTCCCTGTGCCAGGAACTACTTTCAGCACTTTATAGATATTAACTCATTTAACCTTCTAACAGCCCCATAGGTGGTCCTATTACTGTCATGATACCGAAGAGGTAACTCAGAAAGGCTAGGTCAATGGTCGGCAAACTGCGGCTTGCGATCCACATGCGGCTCTTTGGCCCCTTCAGTGTGGCTCTTCCACAAAATACCGACTTCTGTGCATGGGCCACAAAGTTTCAGTCGCACTGTACGTGCATGCCTGCACGTGGTATTTTGTGGAAGAGCCACACTCAAGGGGCCAGTTTGCCAACCACTGGTCTAGCTGAATCTGAAATTTATTGAACCCTATTGCCAACCACGGAGCAAGGTGATTTGCCCGTGGTCACCCAGTAAATGCTGGAGCTGCATTTGAATGCAGACAATCTGACACTGACGTAGGAGGACCACACTGAGCTTTGGCCCTGGGTCATATGCACGAAAAGGGGCTGAAGTCTAGGTTTAAGAAATGGGCAGTTAGGGTGTTTGTGTGTGTACATTGTGTGTACCTATGCTTTGAGAGTAAGGGGATTCATTAGGGAATCCTGTTGATCTTTGTTGTTATAGATCTGACAATTCAAGCAGAGAAAAATTGACTTTTAGGTAATCAAAATGTTAATCATTTTAAGGCTTAGCATTAATGCCTTCTAACAATTTTGCAAATGCTAAAGGATCAGGTTAAATCTACGTGCCTGTCATTTGATAATAGCATCAAATCATGGTTTGTTGTTCAAACAGCAGGCTGATTAATCATAAGTTAATTACCAGGAGGGGGAATAATGGACATTGTGAACCCACTGAACTTCCCTCTGTATTTCTGGGAATGCACACTCATATGGCAGGGCAGGGCAGTGGCCTCAAGTGCTCTGTAGACAGACAGCACAAGTAACTAACCATCACTGGCTCCGTGTGGCTCACCTTGACCCCCTGAGGCAAAGGAGATGCTCCAATACCACTTTCGTTTCACGGTCACCATTGGCCATTAGTCCTCTGAGGTTTCATCCTTTCTTATCTCCACCTCACTTCTGCTGGAGTGGTTCTCTGGAACCTGATCCCCCTACCAGGGTCTGTACCCAACTCTTTAGCGTCAGGAGCAGGTAGGAATTCACACACCCGTCCTGTCCTAGCACTTCCTGTCATGGAAGCCTGGTATTCCTGAGGGGGACAAGTCCAGGCCATGAACCTGTGACAGAGGATGAGGAATCTATATAAGATAACCTTGGCGTTTGTCTGGGGGCTTCGCATGTTATATCTTCTAACAGCCACACGGGGGCAGCAGAGGCACAGCGCGAGCTGTGCTGCGAGCAGAGCAGTGGGTTTTTGTGATAAAGAGTCATCTCTCCTTCCCTCTCCAGGCTGACCGTAACACAACAAAACCACACGTGGCCATGGTAGAAAAAATAAGAAAATGTAGCAAATTGTTTTATTGCAGCCTTTTTACCCAAACACATATTTACGTTTTGGAATATTTTATAAATTTGGAATATTTTATACATGGATGTATTTCTATTGTACGCACTCTTTTGTTAAGAAAATTTTCCGCCGAAACCGGTTTGGCTCAGTGGATAGAGCGTCGGCCTGCGGACTGAGAGGTCCCAGGTTCGATTCCGGTCAGGGGCATGTACCTTGGTTGCGGGCACATCCCCAGTGGGGAGTGTGCAGGAGGCAGCTGGTCGATGTTTCTCTCTCATCGATGTTTCTGGCTCTCTATCTCTCTCCTTTCCTCTCTGTAAAAACTCAATAAAATATATTTTTTAAAAAAAAAGAAAAGAAAATTTTCCATTTAACAAAATATAATGGCCATATTTTTAAATCAGTGAACATATTTCTACAGAATCCTTATTCCTATCAGATTTGGTAAAGAGCTACCATCTGAGGAACAGCAACCTGAGTTTTGCCAATTGTTCTTATCTTTTTAAATAACGGCCGTACCTATGTTTATATGATATTAAATATTGTCTAACAGGAGGTATGGGAACTTATGGCGTATTTGAGCATGGAGTCTGTGTGTCTCATGTTATCCTCTGTGAGTCAGCGATGGGTTTCCTTCTGTCTTCCTTACTGTGTGGAGCCTTTCCCCAGCCATTCAGCCTGCGTGGGCCTCCCCTGGGAAAACCAGCCTCATGTCCGTGGTCTCTGCTCTGACTCGGGACCCTCAGGAGCCTTCACTGTGACTTCCCCCACCCAGGCCCTGTGTGCTCTCCTGGCATTTCTTCTCCCCCAAGACTTACCTTTCCTGATAGACAAACCCTTTACGGTGGTAACAGCTGACAACTGATTGGTCTGCCATCTTCCCACAGATGATCTTGCCAGGGAGCTCCTAGGGTTGTCGTTTCTAAGTCCAGCAGCTTTCGATGTGTTTGGACTCAAGAGGTCAGGAAATGGAAGCAGAGCTGCTCTTGATGCCACAGGGATGTGGGCCTGCGTTCCCTCTGACTTCTTCCCCCTTTCCCCGCTCCCTGCCAAGGCCTCCCTTGCTCCAAGGACACCGCACAGTCTCCTGCCCTAAACCAGGCCTGGGGAGTTGGTGTTTTGGGTGTGTGGTAAGGGGAGATTTTTGGACCCTTTCCTCACATCACATTGTGTAGGTGACCCTGTGTTTGGAATAAGCACAGGGCTGGGCCTCATGAACACACACCTGTGTTTGTGTCCTGTTTATGCTTCTTGTATCGTTGTCCTTCTGGGGCAGCTGGACAGAAGTGGAGGTGACTGCTGAGTGACTAGGAACCTGGGTCACCAGAAGTGGGATGGGACACCCTGGGTGCCATTGTTTCCTATGACAGGACATGGTGGGAAAGGGGAATAAGAATTTCATCACTGACCAAATTAAAGAAAAAATTACACCTCTTTCATGATACTGAAACCAGACAACCAATGGGTCTGGGCTTCCTGTCACTCTTTGAGCCAATCAGCAGAGACAGGGTTGAATCATATATGAGCATTTATTCCAATAATGCTGGCAGGGTAGGAGAGCAGCAGGTCATCCACAAAAATCTGCTCTCCTCCGCCCCCCCTCTACTCCCCCATAAGTCAGCTGCTTATATTGGGTAGAAGGACAAAGATTACATGGGGAAGTGGGCAAAAGGAATAGGAATGGTTATGCAAAATGGGTGTGATGGTTACAGTTTACAGGCAGTGTGGGCTGGGGGTTTGCAAAGGGCTGGCACCTCTGGTTTCTATAACAAGGTTGTTAACCTTTGCATGATAATAGGCAGCTCCCTGGTGTGTGTGGGGGGGCGGGGGGCTGAATTTCCAGGTGAGCCCCCAGGTCCCGCATGCAACTCCCAGCCGGGTGACACCGTGCTTTCTTAAATCAGAACAGAACATTCAGGCTTAACAGGGCATGATTAATATTTCTTATTTTATTTCTTATAACTGATAGCTAGTCCCCAATATTCTATTTCTGCCTCTAACATTACTATTTCTGGGCTGCACCCCACAAGGGACTTTTCCATCCATATGAAAATGAGCACTCAGATCAGTCAGTTCTGAATCTTTCGGTTTATACCGCCCTCAGCAGCAGCCACCTGACATAGTATAGGTTTCTAGGTGGAAAGGCCCTGTTAGCTGAGCTCAGAACTGGAAGAGGATGGGGACAGAGAGGAGATGAGGTCCTCTCAACCCTTCTGCAGCCTTCCCCAGGGGCCTCTGGAGCTGAGACGGTGTGAAAGCACCTTCGCACTTCTGCTGAGGCGATCCACTAATTGCGTGCCCTCAGGAAATGTGTGAGATGAGAGAGAATTTCCCAGAGGGCCTCCTTCCTATGCTCAATCAGGAAATGCATTTTCACTTATAAAGTGTAGGTGAGACGCGTGTGTGTCACTCCCCAGCTCCACGCTGCAGGCTCTCTGGCCCTGCCCTGGTCTCGTTCCTGAGAAATCCTGTGTTTCCCGCTTTATATTCTTCTGCACAAGTGACACACACACACACACACACACACACACACACACACACCGCCTAGCCCAGTAGTTTTCGGGATTTGTGACTCAGGTTGTTCTATTCATTGTTTATTTTGCTGGGAGTCCCCCTCCTGGAGCCCTGATTTGTAGAATCACAGGAGCTTAGATTTCAGTTGTATTTTAGAGATCATCTTATTTAACCTCTAATCACTTCATTTCTCAGAAGGGGAAACTGAGGCCCAGTGAGGTTCAGGCCATCCAGACATTTGGAGGTAGAATGGGGTTCACTCAGCTACTTACTTTGGTTTCTGGTCTGCTGTGCCCCTTTCTCCTTTGAGGACACTGCCTTTCCGAAGCACAGGGCCAAGTTTAG